CTGCATCTGTTTCTTAATGAATAGGGATTGTATTTCCCATATTGTCCCAAGGCTTAGGCAGTCATATTACCACTTGTTAACAGCAAGTTCTTCAGCTGTTTGTTCGGTCTGATCTCTGACAGGGTTATTTAGGATAATTGGGTTAAAGGATCATGAGAACTACCTCTGCACCTTTTACAGTTGGAATTTCCAGGCCTGTTTTGTTAACAGCTCCCTACAGCATTCATCACCTGCCATGAGTGGCTAGATTTCTGACAGTTTTATAATAAAAAAAACTGCTGATGGAGGCTAAGTGTGTAAGCACTTGCTGAGTGTACCTAGTGTGATCATATTTGAACTTCTTAGCTAAGTTTCTTGTCACCTGCTACAGTGAACTGTGCCATAATATTAATTTGAAACTTTAAAAGAGAAAGGATTACAAATTTCAAATATATTATAGGTTTTTCTTAAGTTTAATGTCATATCTGTTAATCATATTTTTCCCCTTGAAAGAAGTCTTCTCCTGAGTGACTACAGTTATTTCAGTGTTCCTACCACTTGTTGAAGTGTGTTGGTACTCTTCTTTTGAGACATTGTTCAGTTCCTGTTTCACACTTCGGATGGTATCTTGCAATTTCTGAACCATTACAGACTAAATTCAGTAAATATGGTATATGGTGAACAAGTGTGAGGTTATGTTTGGTGTAAAAGATACGTGATTTTAAGGGCCAGTTCTTAGGGAAAAATGTGTCTTTTCCTGCAGAATACTGTGTATCTTACTAGCTGATATTAATACAAATTTTATTTTGATGATGGAGAAATATATTTTTGTTCATAAATGGACTCATATTTAAAATGTGATGTAGGTGTCCATGATCGTACTTGGGAACCGAATGAAACCCATGGATGTGGGAAACCTTGAAAACACGGCAAGTAAAGCTGCACACTGGGCTACCAGAGAAAAGATTCGACACTACGAAATAAACGCAATGGATCGGACAACTCTGTATGAACCATTTGTTCACTTGGCCACCAAACTGAACCCACCTCCTAACAAGAGTACTTTTCCACAACTCAGTATGGTGAGGAAGTCGATTAGCAGACCAGACACCAATTAAGGTAAGGCTTGAGTATTTATCATATTTTGTGTAGGCCTATGTTTAGTATTTTTAAAATGAATGTTTTTTTTTTTCATTGACTATTATTTTTCATTTATTTGCACATTTGTTTATTCTAGAAACTGTATTGAAACTTCTATGGCTTCAATATCATTGAATTAAGCACAGATTCAAAATACTTGCTCATAAAATTTTAACAAAGGACTTTTTTTAATTGTTTGTAACAATGTGACTGTTGTTTCTTAAACTTTATTGTCCTCAGAACCATAGACTGATTCCCATATGATATGAAAGTACAGAAAATTAAGTGAGCAGCACACAAAGGGGAGAAGAAGGAAATTAATGTTTCATGTGGTTAGCCTCTTTTCTGTGTTTATTTTTTATAGTGAAAAATAGGTTTGTATTGTCATTGTGTCTGTGTGTTTCCCCCCCTGTCCCTTAGGAACTTCTGAACCAGGTTTTCACAGCTGTCGAATTGTGGTTTGTGGTCTTTTGGGTTATGACACCAGGCAGTCATGAAAATTTCATAGTAACAGACCACGGTGTGTGATTAGAGTATCATTGTTATCAGGACCCATTATATGCAAGGTGTTCATCAGGGTTTTTGCAAAAGTGATAGGGCAGGAGAACTTGGTCATTACTACTTCACTGCTTTATGCTATAGAGTTAAATAATTAGCTCATAATGCCTGTTTACTGTGACTTGTGTCATTTTGGTATTGTATATAAATTCTGCTTTTGTATCACTGGCTACTTGTAGTCTGCATTTATATTTGATAACCTCATACAGTAGTATACTTTATAAACACATTTAAATATATTCTTGAGCATACTTTTATGTAAAATAATTTTATTTAAAACTGTGTAAAGACACAAAATACTGATTTACAAATTAAAAAATTGTACTGATTTCAGTTGTAGTGTTATAAAACCAGAACAATCATATTTCAGAATATTGTGGTTCATGTATAATTCATGATGAAATTTATGACAGATTACTTCAGCTTTATCATAATATTTCACATGAATAGTCAATAGCATAGTTTGTATGTCAGTGAGATGAGTTAAGTAAAGGGACATTTGTTAGTTTCTGATACTATTGGACCAACACTTCAAGATCATTGTCATTAATAGGTGGTGATAACATGTGATATATACTATTGTCTGAGTCACTACATTTTTGTGTCTGTGTGTTTATTTGTTAACATATTGAATTTGTTAACAAATTTTTACAATGCTTATACAAATGTGATTTCACTGTTATCACTGGTGCATGATGCATATTCATTTACATTTCAGTGCTTCCTACTTGAAATATGTTGAAATTCCTCTTAAGAGCAGATTATACATATAACATAACACTCTCACACATAACTGGCTGTGGTCCAGTATTAACAACTTCAAAGTTTAAATATATATGAAATTCACAAGGAATGCCTGACTTCCACTGCAGTCCTAGTATGTCATGATCATAGCATTACAGTCTTTGTAGTAGATGAAGCTTAAGTCTATGTCATTGGTTGAAGATACTGTACATTTATAAGTCAGTATATTATAGTCATTTATTCATGGACACACACACACACACACACACATCATTCAGAAATGTTTCAGCATCACCATTTCAGAGCTCTGCTCAGTTTTCTGAGGATGATTTCTGTTCCAAATATTTTATCCCAGAAGGTACTGCTTATTCCAAATCCTGTAATAAAATATACAGAAAACTAAATTGCAAAGCAGTGTTTCCAAAAGTGGGAGTCACAGCCTCCCATTTGACCATGAAGATTTTGTCTGGATCTAGTAGTATAACTATAGAACATATAAGCTGTTAAGGAAAGGAAATAACAAACATACAATTTCAAAGAAAAAATAGTACTTGTGGGTTATCGGGACACATCGCTTTAAAAATAGGTTAGGTTAGGTTAGGTTAATGTGTTTTGTAATGCAAGTATGATTTTAGGAAGGGTGATACCATGTATCAACTAGTGGTTGTGTGCGCTCACCATTTTCATGATGTGTGAAATGATGCTGGTTGTGATAACGCTTCATATTGTAGAGGTATGATCCATCTGTTGGTGATCCATAGTGAAGGTAGAAGTGCATTAAATCATATATAATGTAACCTGTAAACAGTGTAACAAAAAACTGTACTGAGGAAAGTAGCGTGGGGAAGGAGGGGTTATCATTCCTGTCCCATTATGTAATTTTCTCTCTTCCCCTGTTATGTTAATGCAGAATGTTCTTAATGATCACAGCTACATTGACTCTTCCGCCACAATGTTTGGGTCACCGGTTAATACATGGGTACCAAAACACGATATAATTTATGTATAAAAGAATGGTTGGTCTTGTATTAGGAAGTACTTACCTATAACAGTGCCTCCTGCAGTGAATGAGAGCATCCATGGTGGAAATATTACTGTATATATGGAGTACAGTATTACTGCCAATATGGCTGCCGGCACAGGTGGGAATAGAAGCCGTTGGTCATCAAATGGCACCTATGTGATCAGACAGATTTTATTATGTTATACCAGCTATGTGGCACAAAACTGACATACTTATGGACTGCTGTGTTGATTAGATTCACAACAGTCTTATTGGAGGTAAATGATCTTAAACCTTCAATGTCAGCCTCCATACCGGGAACAGACCTGAGTTTTGTCACATGACCCCTGGCTCTATACTTTGTATGGACCATGTATATGGGATTTAAATTTGCTCTGTCCACATGGTAGGATACCACTTAAATGGTTGTCATCACTGAAGGGTTATACCTGAGATCTTCAGCACTTTATCCATAGACCCAGGTTCTCATTTTCTTCATATTTCTGAGGTGAAGTCATCCTTTGTCTCATTTAACAGTTAATTACCTGTAATTCAGCGAACCACTATGTCCTTGAAACTTATAGACATGATCGTGACCTTGAGATTTGTGGTTCTCTAGGGGGTGATGTTGGACTTCTGGGTAGTAATGCCATGTGACCTTGTGGGTATACACCAACCCCGAAAATGAGATGTTACGTTCCTCCAAACATTTATAGCTACCTATTGGCCGACTAGATGTTACTGCCCAGAAGACCAATATCAAAGACGGAAACGTTCCTTTTCCTTGGTAATAGAACTTAAAGTACCTTATGATGCAATCCATGTATCAGGAAGTGTAATGTGATGAGAAATGGTGATGTTGCTGGTGGTTGCGAGTGAAACACCCAGCGGTGTAAAGAGTACTCCAGGAGGGACCACATTATGATACCAGTTAGGAAGCTGACCACAGCCCATACTAGGCCTGTCCCACCTGTAACAAGCAGTAACTTATGATAAAAACACATTCTCGACATGCTCATTATTCTTAAGGTCAGCTCTCTTGATTTTATTGAGATTTTACTCAGCTGAAAATACAATTTATCTTGTATAAAGAGTATATTTGGCACCCAGTCAAAACATCTGTATTAGGCAAGAGAAATCACAAGTTTTATGGCCATCAATTTTAATTATTATTTTATGAACAATCTTATCAAGACAAGAATAGAACTTTGCTTTCCATTGGAGTACACATATCTTCCAAATGTATTCTCTGTAGATTCTTATTCTTTTGTGCCTTGATGTGAACATTTATTGCAGACAATTTAATTTTTTTGTTTTTGTTTTCTATCCATATTCTGCTAAACTCTTGTGGCAGAAGTGATTGCTTAAAATTCATAACACAAGCAATGTACAAGTTATGAGACGTGAGATTTTCATGGTGGTGAGGATGATGATCTTTTGAGTTTTGGCATCATATTGACTTGTCAGTATATACCAACATTTCAGAGAAACATACTGTCTCCATCTTCACAGCTGCAAACTGTAGTCCTGTAGCCTGTTACACAAGATTTTACTACTATCACTACATTAAAATATTGTGACGTAGGTAGGTTCTTACGCCCTTTATTGTCAACCCTTGCTGTTTGGAGTCTGCTGCCTTGAATACGATCTGACAGACACTTTTACATGGGGATCCACACACTAATCACATGCTCAACACTTTGCAGTCTTGCTGCCACGGTGCCCTCCAGCTCACTCTTCTGCATGCTACTTCACACCCAGCCGCACCCAGGAATGCGACTTTGTTTATATTCCCCTCCCAAGATCCAGACCAGGCAGCCTGGAAGTCAGGTGGCCCCTCCCCTCCAGCGCAAGGCCTTGGCACCCATGGCGACGCGTCACAATATGTAGTAAATTGGAATATTTTGTTACTATCATATAACAGTAGTTTCACAAACACTATTAAATTACACCATTGCAATGGACCATTTGTGTGTATTTTCTGATAACTTCAGTGCAAGTTATTGGACAGTGGTTGCTCTGAATTTTAAACAGAAATTGATAGCTGTAGATGTGTGATCAGTTGGACACCCTGTAATATACATAATTAAATTATACTTCTATGTAACAGTGGCAGTCACTTTACCTTTAATTTCCTGTTGATTTGTGAGCCACCCGAGGTAAATGAAAAATATGCTCACAGGAATCCACACAATAGGAATCAAGTACCAGGGTGTTACAGTCATGTTCTCTATTATGTCCCAGTAGAACAGTCGCAGCTTGCGGTCCACAGGAAAGGATACCCATTCCTTGTACTTTGGTCCTAGCTTGCCTACTTGACTAAGCATTGGCTTGCTCCAATCAACCAGCTTCTGTAATGCAATAATTTTTACATGATAACGTTTAATTAAACTGAATGCCTACAGGACAGCATTAAATCTTATACATCTGTAATATATATTTTTGCATGTTCTTTTATATGGGTGTGGAACTTTGGAGGCGGAAGAGTGGCAGAGGATGTGTGCACTTGAGACAGGAAATAAGAGAGGAACAGAGAAAACTACATAATGAGGAGCTTCACAATTTATATTCTTCTAACATATGTTGTCATGGAATATCTGTTTTGAAACATCGACTAATATGAGAATCATGCTTCCATTATCTAGTATTGTATTTAAAATTTAATTTCTTTGTGGGAGCAGATAACCTTTTCATACAGTAAGCAATAAAAATTATGTTTAATTACAAATACTCACACATTAACTGATCTGCTGGTATGAATATTTGCCAGATAAAAACATTCAATATACAAAATAGTCTAAGACTAAAAATGTTACATTATTCAAATAGAAAATCAAAGTAATGAGAGGGGCAGTTCAGTTTTCTGTACCTCCAAATCCTCAATAACAGAATCTTTTGATGTGTCAGGTAGTTTGTATTCCCTCATTAAGTATGTGGCAGCTGGAGAATGGTTTATGTCAAGGAATTTCTCAGTGATTGAGAGCCCTTTGTATGGTGACACAGTATTCCGTCCACCTGGGTGAAATTGCAGAAACCTGGAGATGTCATATCTATCTCCTTTGTGTTTTATGATGAACTCCTCTTCACTGTCATGGGTCTTTATCTCACCATTCCTCACTGCTGTCATATTTTTTGAAGTCATGATTGCGGGTCTGAAATTGAAAAGAAGAAAATACATAGTTTTCTGTTACCATCACAAAACCACTGAAGGTTAGTTATTTTGTATGGTTGTATTAATTGATCTCCACTGTGAAAATAATTTAAATTTCAGATGTTATGAAACATAATTCTCAGGAAAATATTTGGACCAAAGTAAAAGTAGGTGGACTGGACAAATTACATGGAGTGATTGTATTTTAAGTAGTTACCCTAGATATGGATGAGGTATTCAGATGAAGGAAGTAATGTTGGACTGGGTTTGTAGTTTATGTGGGGGGGAAACAAGAAATATATGACCACTTGAAACACAAAGAAATAGACTGAAAATATCAAAATGGATCTCATAGAAATAAGTTGTGAGGATGTGAACTTGATTGTGACTCATGCTTCTGCCTTCGTGTTGTTATTATTCATGTCATAGCTTATTTAATAACTGCTTTGAGTTCTGCTGGCAGAGAGTTTCAAGATTGTAATCTGCCCCAGTTCCCATCATCAGGGTTCTTGATTAATAATTCTGACTGTTCACTCCAAAAAGAAGAAATTATTTTCACATGTTCTACATATTAACATTCAGAAATTTGCTGTGGAAGCTCCTGCCACTTCAGTTTGCAAATTGTAATTTGCCTTTCACAGCTTGAGTCTTCTTACTAGACTGTTCAGCATACATTTCTTGGTAATAGCTTTATCTACTAGCTGTTATCTCAGTTCTAGTGATGATCCTTGTGTTAATTAATATTTCCCTTGAAAATTTTCTAATCTTATCTTTCAAGAACCATGGTAAATGCTTTTGACATCAAATCCCATATTAGAAATACTAAAAATGATACATTTGTAACCAAGTGCATATGAGTTTGTGCTCAGATTAATCTAGACCACTAAATACTGCCACTGTCTTACACAGTTGTGGTGTTTCAGCATTCTTAAGCATTTTACATTGGTTTTTATTGTGCTATTTCTTCTCTAGAATTTTGTTAATCTGTTTTCTTTAGCCTCACATTTTAAATACTACATGATAGACTTCTGTGCTGGATAAAGAATAAATCCTCCATGAATAACACTGAAAACTGGTGGCAAGATCCAATTTCTTGACACAGTATTTTAAATAAATGTATTTTGAGGGCTCAGAACCTAAATTGTAGCTCATATACATAAAATGTTTTAAAAATAAGTCATTTGATTTAACAACAATATTAGTCACATTTGAATAAATACCAATGTTAGTCTTGTTTAAAAGGTGAAGGTAAAAGATATTATCCTTAGGTATTATCAGTTTCCTTCCTGTTTTTATGTGCATGAGATATTCAAAGTAGACAAGTTATACCACGTGCAGTGCAACCTACATTTGACAATGTGTGATGAGTTTTTTCAATAGAGCACTTGTGACTATTGGGCCCAGACACATTGTGATACGCAACTTGTGAGCATACATGTTATTGCTACCGACAAATAACCGAATGGTTAGTATGTTTTGAAGCAAGTTTGTTAACCCTTTAAAGCCCACAAATTAAAGTGCTGACATGATCTGTTAAATTACTGTGTACAGATGAATACAAATGTCATCCACTTATATGTATACTTATTTCAGATCATAAATATATATGTAAGTACCTTAAGAAACATGGTGAACTGTTGAACTGTCATCATACATAGTTGTACTCACATTATTATATGGATCAGAACTAAGCATCACAATTCAGCAGTTAGCACTCCTGCACTCATATTTGGGTTCACATCTCAGCCTTGAGACTGGCTATTCTGACTGAGGTTTTTTGTAGTTATCCTCACCACCTCCAGGCAAATATCAGGATAGTATCTTGAATTAGACCATGACCACTTCCTTCAACAACCTTTCCATTTTATTATTCACTAATCATCCCATCATTCAGAGATATGGTATAGTCTAAGCAAATTAAAGCAACTGATGCCAGTTTGTGATCATGCTCAAGAGTTATGAAATTTTTGTCCTACAGTGATGAGAATCTCTGGGTCTGTTATATACTGTCACGGAAGACAAGTGAAAAAATGCTTTCATTATAATAGTATGATACAGATTACTATGTGAGATTACAGGTTCTCATGCCAGTGAGTATGAGGGTGGTTGTCTTCCAGGTTGTTGAGCCGTGTCACACATACCTCATCCTCCATGATTTGACCACCATTTTCCCATTGCTTAAGTCATATTAAAGGATCTGAAGATTTTGTAATGAGAGCTAGTTAGCCCCTTGTACAATCCCCAAGTTTATTTAGTATATTCACAGCTGACCTGAGAATGCACCATGTGGTTATGACAAGTGACTGACCTAACATGCTAATTCTTGCCTTTGGAAATGATCCTTAGACAGTTCACATTCTCACAGCCTATTTCCTTAACATCCATTTTAATATTATCTGCACATTTCTTCATCTTCCAAGAGTTTACCCCACTAAAATTTGGTTTGCACTTCTATATCTGAGTTATACATAAATGCAGAGTTCCATGTTATAAGCTGTACTCCACTACTCCACTCCCTAATTTATCTTCTAGATTCAACTGTTTTACTGAACACTTATTTTTCATGCACTTGTATTTTGAAAACAAAAAGAGACCACATTTTACAGTCACACAAAACAAGCTGTAAAATCATTGTTTCATAAATTATTATTATTTGTTGTTGTTGTGGTAGGCAGTTTGTATTTTGAGTTGAATAACGAAAAACATTTCCCAAATGATTCATCTCAAATTTCATTGTGAACCTCTTGTTTTGTTTTTGTTCTTCTCATAAACATATAAATTGCCAAAGCTGTAACAGTTTTTGGCTAAGAAAACAGTTCTGTACCTTGACTTATGTAGAAATAACTTGGTTGTACTGTAACTGCTAGCTCAGACTAAATCATTGATGTGACAAACATTTCGCAGCGAGCTATGTTGAGGATAAAGGGACGTCATATATTTTTTACGCATGATGTAAGATGAAACTAGAGAACAAAAAATTGCAGTACCTATAATGTTATCAGTCAAACAACCTGTTGGCTTTGACATACTGACTTTGTTTGGTATGCATAGGAAGTCGTGATATATGGCATAACTTCCTCTGTCATTGTTATAAATGCTATATCAAATAGATGGGAAGATAAAACACTGTGCTTATATGAGTGGTATTTGAGATAAGCAGTATTAAATTTACTGTCAGGTTTCACCAGCGCTTATTTTGTGGTCAGAAGTTTCTGTATATTGTGATTATATACCTTCAACACATATATTTTTTCTTACCATAAGTTGTAGTTGAGGCCTGGTTCAACAGCCTCCATAACAATATCATTTCTCTCCAAAAAATTCTTATAGCGATGTAGTGAACTTGAAATTTTAAGAATCAGGTGGTAATAATCAAGAGTGTAAAGGTGTACTCCAATTTGGAATGGCCTTTGTAATTTTGTACCTCCGTTAGTGTGGATGTTAAGTTACTGCAGATTCTAATCTACTGTTGATACAGTTGTTCATTAGTAGAGATACTACATTGCATTAAATTATAAGCTGTAATGCACGCAAAACTAAGCAACAGTAGGTATCACTATGTAAAGGGACAATTTTTTCTTATATTTCGTTACACATGAACGTTGTTGATAAAAGTCTCCAGTAAAAATTACAGACCTTAATGAGGTCTGTATTTTATGTTAATTTATCAGTCTTTTGTACACTGAACTATTTTTCAGAAACTGGATAAAGTTCACTTTGTGCTTTATGTAAAGTAAGAGTTAGCAGTCAACTGATGTGGACCAAAATTATACACACTTCATAATTTGTTTGTAGACCCTAACATATATCAAAATCCATTTTAAAGTTTATAAAATAACAAAAACTCCCAAATATATGCATTCATTTGATGAGCTGTATGTTAAAAAATGTACTATCACACTTGGGTATAACCATAGATGGTAACACTAACAATTGATTAAATGATAGGCAGCTAGTTCTTGTACACGTAAGTCATCGTTATGATGAGCCTAGTAACTCAGACACTACGGGGTGAACAGTGGGTTTGATTTCTAGCAGCGAACTGAACTGAAGAAAGAGACTGCTGCTTATATTGGGTTAGTTTAACAGGAAATATCAGGCCAAATTATATGATGATTATGGTGATGACAACAGTAATGATGATGATAATATTTTACTTTTGAATTTCCTCTCATTTCATGTAATGCAGAATAGCATTTTTGTAGTCATCACATTGTCGTTAAATGTGGAAAAACCATGTGTAGTCCATAATATTGGTAACAATTTACATCATAAATAAATTAATCAGTAAACGGAGGCTTAAGAGACCGAGAAAAAACACAAAAATGTAAGTCAGAAGAATAGCTGGTTACCCAGCTGAGATTTGTGTACTGTCTCTAAATGAGTTCAGAGATTTTACATCTGCAGAAGCCCACTCAATACATTAATTACTACTTTATGAATGTTTGCATGTAAACATACTTTGTACACATATTCTGTTGTTGGACATATGTAAATTCTCCGAATGAAGTACTAAGGTTGTTAACTAGGCCACGTAGTATTTAGGATGTTTGATATATTTGGTAGAGGCGTATGGTTTTAATCATGAATTATGAATTCTTATCAAATATATCATGTCTGTCCATTTTTCTTTTTGTAAATTGTTTTTATTCTGACGGACACAAAGTTCTTATTTAGTAAAAAGTAATGTTACCTGTTGAGCACTTCACAACATCACAGCAGATTGTAAACTATATGAAGTAGGGCAATGGATAACACTGTCTTCTCCATTATAGATAACTGATAGTGATAAGAATACTTTCATGGGCATGAGTCAGTGCTTGTGTGTGCACACGCACGCACGTACACACAAGTATGCAGCATTCACTTGGATGTGTCTGATTGGCATTGTTTTTTTTATTTCCAAGCTTATGTTGCCTTTAATATATGGGTGTTTTGGGTACGAAATCAAAATATTGAACTTATACAAGTACATAAATATCTTTCCTCTTTTGCAAAATCAGTACTAAATATTATGGAGCAGTGTTCTCTTTTTGTATTTATAAGGTACCAAATTTTGATCCTGGACACAGGGGCAGCAGTCCACATTGAGATTTTTCATGGTTTCCCTCAACCGAAAAGATTTGGAAGGAAGAACTTCAGGTATTATAATGATGTTTGCCTGGAGTAACAGAGGAAAACCATAATAAACTTGGGATACCCTTATGTGGGTCAAGATCTGA